TTGATCGCATGATGGATGTAGGCTGAGTGAAGCTCAAAGGAGAAGTTACTGAGTGATGGAAGTAGAGGGAGTGGCAATGGGAGAGCAAAGAGCATTGCAACTCCCATCTCACCTGGTGAACAAGAGGGTATGAGTGAAACTGCTAGAAAAGGAGGCCAGGGAGGCTGTGTCACCAGGAGGGATCCAGGCCTGAGTGAGAGCCAGAAGAAAAGGGGTGGGAAAGGAAAAAATTTTAAGAAGAAAGCATGTTCGTTATCAATGGAGCACATATTCCCAAGAGCACACTGGAAGAGATGGGTAACTAGAGTGTGGGTGGAGGGTAGGAGGGTGGAAAGGACTTTGAATAAGGGAGCAGATTGTGGGAAATGGATAAGTGGGGTTGTGTACAGACACCTAGGGGTTCTGGATCACTGGGATATAATAGAGTACACCGGGTGGGAGTTTATTAATCATTGTGCAAGGGTTCAGCCTCTGGGTAGTGTCCTCTTGGGGTATTAGGAAGCTCAGGCTAGGTCACCACTGGGGAGCAGATAATGAAATAACCTTTTGCTACATCAGAAGGAAGGTCCACCACTCAGTGTTAGAGCAGATGAGCTGAAAATAGCAGGGGAAGGTAGAGAAAAATAAATGACAGCTCAGGGAAACTCAGAAGGAGTGGCAGCAGGGAGGAGTGGGATCATGTCAGGGCAATCCCCTTGGGCTCTAGGAACTGGGCCAAAAGCTCATTTTAAATTGCCTGCATCCAACAGAAGTCCTCAAGGCCTAGATATAATTGAAGGGAGATTTTTGTTTTGCTTTTAACTAGACTCCTGTGAAGACAGGGAAAGAGTGAAAAGGAAAGAATGTGAAGAACAAACAAGGGAGGCCTGAATTTGTGGGTGTTGGGGTTCAGCTTAGGCATAATGCAGGGTATCTTTAATGATTAAGCCTTGACAGCCCCAGTGCTTCATTGTGGTATTGAGGTGACCCTTGGTTGGCGCTCAAAGCTAAACCAGACAGGATAAACTCTAGCAATTTCCACCATCCTACAAGGTGTTCAGGCCTGGTCCCAACTATGGATTAGGTTTGCTTTCTAAGTAAGGAGAGGCCATCAGCAGTAAGTCAGCCGCTTGGTGATGATTTCTTTGGTCATAGCTATCTATGAAATAACAACGACAATATTAAATGTGCCTCACTTCTTACATTTTGGGGCAGGGAGTTGGAAAAGACAAGCAGAGTGTTCTGCGAATTGTATAGTTTTTTAGAGCTCGTCTATATCTAAGAAATAGATCTAGTTCTAAGGTGGGAGTAATACTGAGCTGCACAGTGGTGGGGGCATCCCTCCCCGCCCTGTTCTGCACCCACACATTCTGTGTGGATCTAGTTCAGAGCTGGAAGGCTGCCTCTCATTAGAGAGATTAGCCTCCCTTCTCTCTCATTCTTTGACTCATATAGTTCTCCACCCTGGCATCCCAGCAGAAAATAACTTAAAATTTAGGTTATGGCTCAGGTCTAGGCCTCCCCAAGTCAAAATTGGACTCAAGATACAATATGAGTCAGGTACAGGACAGATATTTTATTCACACACACACACACACACAAATGCTACCCAATAAATATAGCACATGTTAACTGGATTCAGTAACTTATCTACTATTACAATCCACTGTACTACTATTTAAACCTCATCAGAGCAGCTTTATGAGATGGCTAATCAGGTGTTTTACATTTCACCTCAGCTCTTCAATGTCTTAGCAACCTAGATAGTCTTGGACCAGGACTTTTGTCAATAAGTGACCTCTTTCGCTACCACCATTCAGTTCCAACCCCAAAGGACTCTTGGCCTCCAGACCTTTCCAACTTACAAGATTGTTTCTAAGCCTGGCACCATCCAACTCAAGAGTATTTATTCATGGAAATCAAGAAAGAACAAACAGAAAAGGAACAAAGAAAGCCAGGGGCTTACAAGCTTTCTTACAAGCTTGTCTAGGCAGTATGTGTACTCACCTGACCCTCAGGGAAACAACTTAGAACTTTCCTCATTGCCAAAATAAAAAAAAAAAAAAGAAAAGAAAAAAGGAAGAGAGATGTCGGAGAGCAGGTCAATCTGCTTGTGTGGAATAACATCCCCAGTTCCTTCTGAAGGCCAGGTGTGTTTCATTTCACCTCTTCCCACGGCTCACCAATACCATTAAAGGGATTTGATTTACCTGGTATCTACCATTGGTTCGAGCTACCATGGATGGTAGAGAGGGGTTCCCTGCAACTCAGTCCTTTTAACTACTTAACAGTTGGATTCACTTTTACAAAGAATAAACATAAACATTTTCCCCAGGACCTGGTGGACATAATCCTTCCTGCACTACCTCCTACTCTGCAGACAGGGAAGGCATTCAGTTTACAGCTTAGCTCAACACAGTGCCTCCAAGCTCCAAGTCCAAAGCCCCATATTGGGTCTATGTCATAGGCACCTTTGTTTCTTAGGGCTCCTCTGCAGGGCTAGCTGGCTGCCCATCTGGCCTGGAATCCTGCCACCATGCCTAGAGCTCCCCATTCTCATGGGTATTCTATCACCTATGCCTAGAACTGAAAAGGATCAAAACAAAACCCCAAAGCCATTTCTCAGGACCACAGGGTAAAAGGGAAGAGGAAGGATAAGCAGTAGACCTTTCTTCCACCAAGATGATTCATGGTGCCCAAGCTATGGGTGAATGGAAACGTCACCTTCTCTGGATCCCCCAGGAAAGAAAAGGAGTGTCCCAGTCTGGCAGTCTTAAAGCCAGAAGCCATTCCAGCCGAGCAACTAGAAGAAAAGGTCTATTCCCACCCATGTGGTAAAGGGATGCAGAACCAGGTTTTCCCAGAACCCAAGTACCTCCATGTTAGGTGATCTGGGCATGCACAAAGCAAATTCCTAGTTACACCTCAACTGACCTTCCAAGAGCATGCTCTTGAGGCCCTTTCTTCTTCATCTGTGTAGCTAAATTGCACTAAAAAACTTGGAAGTCCTAATTCCCAGGGGTGAGAGACGGGATCAGAAAGTGCAAAGGTCAGTGTAGGTAAGCAAAAAAAAGCATTCGGCCAAGACACAAGACATTTCAAGGAAGAAGGGCTCATTTTTGAGTGATAGACTGTGTTGACAGAATACTTCTCTGGAAACTACTTGGTTAAATGGAAGTAGAAGCAGTTGGGTGCATTCAGAACATCCTGTCAGGGAGTGAGAGGGCCAAAGAGCTGAGCAGCAAAGACAGACACTAGACCAGAGACATCGAAGAACAGGTGAGCAGGCTCACTCTCCATTGAGAGCGGCTTTGCTGTTCTGATGGAGAACAAACAGACCTCACTACAACCTCCACCAGGCTGCAACATGCTGCTTGCAATCCTCAAATGTTTGTTGACTTTAACAGTATTGAGAAAGAGTTTGCCTCTGGGCTGTAAACAGGGTTTTTGCTGTAATTCTAGAAGCCTCAGGACAGCTGGGCAACAAAACTGTTGTTGTTGATGACTTTGGCAACCTTGGTGGTGTTTTGTTCCTTGGGAGTTCCTGGAAATGGAGGCTTGAGCTGTCCCGGGATCCATTTTGCATCCCCCAAGGACTGACACTTTGCAGGCTGCTTCCTCCTCCTCCTCCACCAGCTGCTAACACCTGTCACAGTGGATAACAGAGAGCTGTGTCTGAGTGCATAATGAAGCATATGCTATATGAGGAAGAGAAAGGAGAATGGGCTAATTCTGCATGTTCTGCTAGTTAATGAGTAGCAAATGTGGGGTAGCGAAGGAGCCAGTGATGAGGGAGGGGAGGGGAAGATAATCAACTACCATCTAAGAAGATTCTCATCAGAAGAGAGACTGTCCAGTCCTTCCACATGGTGGCTTAAGTAGAAGTGTCCACCCTTGGATGAAGGGCGGGTTAGGGAGGTATGGAAGACTGGAGAATGGTAGTTTAACTTGCAAACTGACAGCGGAGGCAGGAAGAAGAGGGAGCAGGGCACAGGCCAATGAGCACAGTCAGGCCTCAGGAGCATGCACATTTATCATTGTTGCATCATTTCACTCGTGTTGACCCTTCATGATCCCATTTGGGTTTTCTTGGCAAAGATACTGAAGTGGTTGGCCATTTCCTTCTCCACGCACCTATTAAGACTTTGTAAAAAAAAAAATTTCTTTTTCTGAAGTAGTACCACCATGTATTTGGAAGTATGGAAAGGATATGAAATACTGGGTACAATTGGGCTCAGTGCCACCCTGGGACTTTACCTAGTTCTCTTTAAGATAAAGCACGGAAGAAGTTTTCAAAAGGGAAACGAAGAAGCTATCCAAATCACTAAAGAGCTGGCCAGGATCTGACCTTTACCAAACACTCTAGAAAACTAACTGAGGCCAGCAAGCAGCTGGTTAGGAAGGGGAGAAGTGATCAGTACAATGGGATTATAGGATCGTGTCTCTTATGGTTCTCAAACCTAGGATTTTTAAGTCACAGTACCTGCCAGTGAGATTTCATTGGAATCTTGATTCCTTTCACCACCAAAAACCATAGGGAACAAACATTTATTAAATGTTTGGTCTGAGATCAGATTTGAACTCAGGTCCTCCTGACTCCAGCACTGCTGCTCTATCTACCACGCCACCTGCTGCCCCTCATGTCTGAGCACTACACTCAGAACTTTATAAATATTATTTAATCCTTGCAACATGAAACAGAAGCTATTATTATCTCAATTTTACAGTTAAGGAAGTAGAGGCAAACAGAAGTTAAATGATTTGCCCAGGGTCACACTACTAGTAAGTATCTGAGGCTGAATTTGAACTCATATCTATCTTGACTCCGGCTGCAGCATTCTATCCATGGCACCGCCTCCACTGTTTCAGTATCATTGTAAAGAGCTTTGCAAGAATCTCAACCCTGCATATTGCATGTAACTTTTCCCTGAGTTGATGACTCTGCATCAGATTTGCTCATGAGAACTTCCTCCAGGTAACAGGAGTGAGACTGACTTTTCGTTGTTTTCAGAGCAGTTTTCGCTATGCTCAAATGTGGACGCCTGAACTGGAGTGGGTTTATGGGATTGGCCTATGAATATTTGATCCCACTCAACTCAACAAACCTAGTGACTAACCAGGAATAGCTTCTGACATCCAACAAACACAGAAACACCACCAAGAGCGGCACCACGGGCAAAGTAAATAAAGAGTTCCCCTGTGGAATACCCTAAGTCTTGGATTCCCCCCAAACTGGCCCTCATTTCCTTCTTCTTCCTCTGTTCCCTCTTATTTCTCTCACCTCTTCCATCCATCTTTTTTTCTTTATTCTTTCTCTAGTTTCTCCTCTTCCAATCATCCCCAGGTCCTCCTTGCCACCATCTACCTTTCAAACCCCATTCCATTCCCAAATCCATTTTTTTAATCTTTTATTTACACTAGCCAAGCCTTAGCTACCATCTGCTCCCTTCCTAACCCCTCTGCTTCATATTTCTTCACCACGGGAAAGTTAGAAAGGTACATAGAACTAACCCCATGTCTCTTTATAGCCCTACCACTAGGTAAGTAATGTGCTTACCACTAAGCAATATTTCAGTTGTGCTATAGTTTAAAGGCTTCTGAAATACCTTCAAGTATTGAGTCACATAGTAGTAAGAAAAGGTGAGAGAAATAGAAGGGAAAAAAATACCACCAGGTAAATGTGATTCCTCAAGTGTTCAAACTGTAAAAGCTCCCTCATTTTATGGAGGAGGAAACTAAAGGCCAGACAAGGACAGTGATTTGTCCAAAGCCCTGGCAGTAAACATGAGGACAAATTCTCAACTCCTGATTCAGGTCCTCTATACCATACCTCCTTATATCCAAACAGCATTGACGTAATATGGAATGGCTTGGAATTTTGGCTTTTTTTTGGGGGGGGGAGGTCTGGTTGATTTATCAGTAAAGATCTTATAGAAAAAGACATGAGGGGCAGCAGGTGGCACAGTAGATAGAGCAGCGGTCCTGGAGTCAGGAGGACCTTTGACACTTACTAGCTATGTGACCCTGGGCAAGTCACTTAACCCCAATTGCCTTGCCAAAAAAAAAGACATGCATACAACACTATTGTAGGAAATCCAACGTCTCCTCCCTCTCTGCTTTGCAAAAATAAGTGACAACAGATGTGTTGGAAGGAAAATCTCCATTAGGGCCTAATAAATCAGGCAGTCTCAGGAAACTGTAGCAAAGGAGTTTATTATTACGTACAAGGCATATGCATTGCATGAGCCTGGCCTGGAGCTTAATCTTTTAAAGATAAACTTTCATAACAAGAGAAGTCAATTCTGATAGGTTATAAATAAATAAATTATAAAAGGGGATGGGATGCTGTTGTATCCATAGAGTTTACAATCCAGGTAGGATACTAATTTCTAAAGGGGTGGGGAGCCTGAGGCCTCAAGGCCACATGTGGCCCTCTAGGTCCTCAAGGGCAGTCCTTTGAGTGAATCTAAACTTCACAGAACAAATTCAGGGTTCCTCACCCTGAGCCACGCTGCAGTGTTTGAAGCCATTCTTGAGAACATTCTCAAAGCTCACTCTTCTTTGATCAACATAACTCTCTTAACCTCGATTGCCTCACCAAAAAACAACAAAAAAAGTATAAATATATACATACATACATATATATATATATATATGTATATATGTCTTTTTACAGTGCCAGAGGTAGATAGATACTAAATAAATACTGCACAATCACGGTGAGAACTTTGAAATGTAGTAACAAATGTTTGGTTACCTTTTCAGACGCCAAGATGTCCAAGTGTTCATAAGCACTAGCTATCTACCAAAATGTTCACAATTACTCCTCTAGGACATAGAATCATTACACTTTTTCTATACCAGTGTGGAGAATGTACCCATTGCCTGAATTGTGAAAGCAACTTGTGTTTGAAGAGAGGGTAAGGCTCAGTTACTTATGGTACTTTTGGGGGGGGGGGAAGAGCAATTTTACATACTTAAAAACTTAATATGACTTTAAGCTTTCTAATTTTCCAACCTTTGTCTCTCTTTGCCAACAAAACAGTCCTTCCTCAGGTTCTGGATTGATGGATGATGGTTCCAGGAGGTTTACCTGTAAGGGGAAACCAATTCATCACTTTAGTAACACCAGTACCTTCACAGAATATACAACAGTGCGGGAGAACTCAGTTGCCAAGACTGATGTGGCCATATCTCTGGAGAAAGCATATTTGTTTAGCTGTGGGTTTTCCACTGGGTATGGGGCTGTGCTCAATATTGCCAAGGTAAGGATTCCATGGCTGCTGTGAATTGACCTCTTGAGTTATAGAAACCAGATCTAGCACTTCATCCATTATACCACCTCACTACCTCAACTATTCTTTCTTCCACTTGACAGCCTTTCAAATATTTAAGATAGTTATGGTGCCCTTCTTTTCTTCTCCTTGTCTCCAGTTCCTTTATCTGATCCTCATATGTTATATACTCAAAACCATTAAACACTATTCTCATATGGTGACATTAGAAGTTTCCAGGTTCTGCGATTTGTGCCTCTGCATTCAGATGGCCATGGAAACTTTATATTTCGTCTTGTCATAACTGTCAAAACCTCTCCTCCTAGGCCTTTTATCTCTTTCACTCAGGAGATTCATGGAGAAATGGTGAGTCTAGATATTGATGAGCCCCCACTAGGGTATCCTTTGGTTGGGTTTCTGAGAGTTAAAGAATGGATATGAAACGATATATAAAGTTGATGATAGCCAGAAGAAATAAAAAGGAAGACCAGCAGGAAGAGAGGAAGAAAGAGATGGAAATAAGAGGTTCCAAAATGACTGTAGTTAAACATGCCCTATGCATTGAGATTCTATACTTGTCCATAAGACAATAACAGTTTATGGCAATTATTACCTTAATTCTTTATTTAATTCTTCTTCACTTCTATCCCAAATGAGAACATGTCATCATAAGAGATCACTAAAGCTCTCTACTCTTAATATAACTTATTTGAAATACCCTTTCTTTATGTTTCCAAGAAAGTAAACACAAACCTTGATTCTTATATTTTGTTAATAGCAACAATAAAAAATTTTTAAAACTTACATTTATATAGCAAAGCATTTTAAAGCCCTATGATGTAAGTGCTATTTTTATCCCCATTTTATAGGTGAGAAAACTTAGGCTGAGAAAGGTTGAGTAACTTGACCAGGATTGCTCAGCTAGTAAATATCTGAGATTGGATTTGATCTCAGATCTTCCTGGTTCAAAGTCCTGCACTCTGTTCACTCTAACACATTGCTTATACCTTTTGTTTTGTCTTGTTTGAATGGAGTTTTTACATGTTTCTACATGGGTCAAACCTGGTTCTGCGTCGCTCTGTCTTTGGCCTGGAAGGAGCTGGCATGCTGGTGATCGTTGGCTGTAAGGTGACTGCTTCTTCTATCACTAGAATAGATGTCAACAAGGACAAATTTGCAAAAGCCAGAGAGCTAGGAGCCACTGACGGACTTCATTAGCCCTCAAGACTTTGAGAAAGCCGTTCAGGAAGTGCTATTTGACATCTAATGGCAGGGTGGACTATTCCTTTGAGGTTATTGGAAAAGCAGATACTGTGGAAGGTGCAGGTAGGTGTAGGTAGGAGTACAAGACAGCCATATTTCTACTAATGCTTTTTCTCTTTAATTCTTCAGCAGTCTGGGATCTTATGTGTGGAAGTGGGCTGAATTGGGAATCGAAAGACAAGAGTTCAAATTTTGACTCTGCCACTGCCTTGGTTTCCTTGTCTGTAAAGTGAGTTTTGACTAGATGTCTATAAGGTAACTTCCAACTTCTTATCAATGTGTCCTTCCTTCACTGCTACAAACCCCAGTTCTTCTATGTAATTGAGCTCTGTAAACTGGTGTTGCTCAAAAAATCCTCTTCTTGGGACCCTCTTAGTGCTAAGCCTGTCCAAATTGAGCTCGACTGGTGCTATATTATAATGCCAGACCCTACTTCAAGTTTGTCCACAGTTGTCATAGCTTTTAATTATTGTAAATAGTACTTTAATTAAAACATTGAGTCTTTCTACCAATATTCCTCCCACTCATCTAGCTTTTTCTCATGCTCCACTATACAGCTCGTGTCCTTTAATCTAACCAGAGAAACTTCCTTACTACCTACTTACTACCAGGCAAACTTACTTAACCCCATGACTCCTTCTCAAAATCCCCTGCTGTGTGTGTATATCTGTCTCTCCTCTGTCTGTCTCTGTCTCTCTTCCTTCTTTTTTTAATTGCATTTCTTTCAATTACCCAAAATTCTCCTTCTTTTACTCCCATTCCAACCCCCCCAAAAAAACTGAGAATGAGAGAAAAAGAAACTATTACAAACATGTATAATCAATGAAAACAAATTTCTGCATTGACCATGTCACATGTACACATATATCTATAGTCTTATTCTATACTCTGAGTCCTTCATCTCTCTATTGAGAGGTGGGTAGCATGTTTCTTCATCAGTTCTCCAGAATCATGGTTAATCATTACAATGATCAAAGTTCCTAATTCTTTCAGTGTTGTCTTTACCATATTGTTGTCATTGTATAAATTGTTCTCCCAGTTCTGTTCATTTCACGCTCCAGCAGTTCCTATGAGTCTTCCCAGGTTTCTCTGAAATCATTCCCTGCATTATTTCTCATAGCACATTCTGTCAATTGCTGGGCACCTCATCAGATTCCCATTCTTTGCTGCCTCATTGCTCTATATCCTTAGAGTTTGTTTTGCTTAGAACTAATCCCTCCCTTTCTCTTGTTGTCATTCAATTGATCGGTCATGTCTTGAGCCCATTGTGGGGTCTTCTTGGCGAAGATATTGCAGTGGTTTTCCATTTCCTCCTACAGAGGATTAATGTACATAGAGGTTAAATGAATTGTCCAGGGTCACACAACTAGTAGGTTTGTGAGGCTGAATTTGAACTCAAGTATTCCTGACTCCAGTCCCAGTGCTCTATCCACTTACATACCTATCTGCCCTCCTCCCTTACTCTACCATCCTCTAACTTTTCATTTCTTCTTTTCTTCCTACTTTGCTATTGAGTGAAATATATTTCTGTACCCAGCTGTGTAGAGCTGTGTGCAGTCCTTACTCTTTTGACTATTTCAGATGGAAGTGAGGGTCAGGTCTCTCGTTCCCTCTTATCCCCACATGCTTTTGTATAGATGTCTACTTACACACCTCAATTATATGAGATAATTTTCCTTAACCCTCCTTTCCCTTCTCTCCTCTCTCACCATGTATTTATTCCTGTTCCTAGCAGTGGCTGCTAAATTATCTGTGATCCTAACTATGGTTCTTCAGTATGTGAATTCTGTCTTTCTGGCTGCTTGAAGTCTTTTTTTTCTTTTACCTAGAAGCTCTGGATTTTAACACTAATGTTCCTGGAGTTTTCATTTTGGGTTTTTTTTCAGGAGGTAACTGACGAATTCTTTGTATTTTCACTTTGCCCTCTGATTCTAAGAGATCTGGGTAGTGCCCTAGTATAGGTACGGGACCTCCTCTTGCTCAAGCGCACAGCCTCTCCTCTTTCCCAGTGTCCACAGACCTCTCTGCTTCCCTATACCACCTGGGCTGGAAAAATTATTCGTTACAACTTTTCTTGAATTTCTCCATCAGAACTTGGTTTGATGCATTTTCTAGACCTGTCTGGAGGAATTAGGGTCATGGAGAGCTTGCTATATTTCCTGCTACTCTGCCATCTTGTCTCTGCTTCCTCTCTCCCTCTTTCTTTTTTTTAAAATTTATTTAGTATTTTATTTTTCCCCAGTTACCTGTAAAAACAATTTTTAACATTTGTTTTTAAAACTTCGAGTTCCAAATTCTCTTCCTTCCTTCCTCCCCAATTGAGAAGGCAAGCAATTTGATACAAGTTATACATGTGTAGTCACACAAAACACTTCCATATCAGTCATGTTGTGAAAGAAAACGTAGGCCGAAAAAAAAAACCCTCATGAAATATAAGGAAAGTAAAAAAGTATGCTTCAATCTGTATTAAACACCATCAGTTCTTTCTCTGGGAATGGCTAGCATTTTTCATCATAAGTCCTTCAGAGTTGTCTTGGATCATTGTATTGCTGAGAATAGCTAAGTCATTCACAGCTGATCATCTTATAATATTGCTGATTTGCACACAGTACATTTCACTTTGCATCAGCTCATGTCTTTCCAAGTTTTTCTGAGAGCATCCTTCTCATCATTTCTTATAGTACAATAGTACTCCATCATAATCACACGCCACACCTGTTCAGCCATTCCCCAGTTAATGGGCATCCCTTCAATTTCCTATTCTTTGGCACCAGAAAAGAGCTACCATAAATATTTGTGTATATATAGATCCTTTTCCTTTTTGTTTTTTTATCTCTTTTGAGATACAGAGCTAGTAGTGGTACTGCTAGATCAAAGGGTACACATGGTTTTATAGCCCTTTGTCTCCCTCTTTCTTCTTAAAAAAATCCACTTAAATTCTGAGCAGAATTAGTCTCAAAAAGTATTCTGATTGAATGGTTAGGTCAGAGATGATCTCGCAGTTGCCATTTCCAAGTTAGATATAAAACCAAGTAATTAACAATGTGAAAAAATGAATTTTGTAACTCCAGCAGTTATCAAATGGTTAACTAACATCATCAAATGCTTAACATTTATGGAAGTTTGCAAAGTACTTTACATATGTTGTCTCATTTGATTCTCACAACAAGGTACGTGCTATGGTTATCCCTGTTTTACAGATGAAGAAACTGAGGTTGAGAGAGGTTAAGTGAGTTGTCCAGGGTCACACAACTAATGATTTTCTGAGGCTTCCTTCTTTCTGACTTCAAGTCTATTAGTCTACTGTGCCAAGCAGCTGTTTCCAGTTCAGATTTTGGAAGGGACCTTAGAAATCATGTAATTGAGCTTCCTTCTTATTTTCCAGATTTTTTTCTTTGGGGAATGGTGAGGGACCAGAGTTAGATCTCCAAGGAAAATATTCAAGATCTTGGGATCACAGGTGTAGGTCTAGAAGAGACCTTGGAGGTCAATTTATTCAATCTCCTCATTTTTTAGGCAAGGTAACTGAAGCTCAGAGAGATTAAGCCAAAGAGATCGACTTGCTCATGATTACAGGGGGCAGAATTAGGATTTGAACTCAAAGCCTGTGACTCTGAGTTCAAATCTCTTTACATAACATCCCAATACCTCCTTTTCACTACACTCCACAGGCCCGCCCAGATCGATTCTTTTTTGAAGGCAAAGTAGGCCATCTTTTGCCTCAGTTCTTACCTAGCTTTTAACTACTGAATGAGTGTTGCCTCAGACAAACTGAGACCTGAGAAAGACCTTAGCTTAAAAAGGCTAGTCATAAAAAACTAAACTAAACTAAAATAAAAAAATAAAATAAAATAAAATAAAATAAAATAAAATAAAATAAAATAAAATAAAAAAAGGCTAGTCATGAGTCGGCATAAGAAATTAAGTAGGAATTTTGGGGGAGCTTTGTTGAAGCCACAAATGACACGCAAAGGCCAGTGGATGACACAGAAAAAAAATGAGAAACTCAGAAATGCATAAAATGTATTTATAGTACTATATAATATCAACATATTTTATCTTCTAATACTGTAAACACCCCATAAAAGAAAAAGAAAGTCCCATTTCTCTCCAAAGAAGAAAATGAGGCAGAGACAGTTTCATTTTTGTCTTTGTAACCTCTATGCCTAGTACAGTACCCAGCATATCATAGGTACCCAATAAATGCTGGTTTAATTAAATTAAAACAAGACATCTACTCTAATTCTAAGCTCTACATGATTTCCTCCCATGTCTCAAAACCTGGGCCTCTGAAATATGCTAGAACGTCATCGCTTCCCTCCACTTCCTTCCACCCACCTCAGGTGAAGGTCCTGGTGTCAGAATCACCAAGCAACATCTCCAGCTCCAGCTGCTTCCCTGCCAGCATCTTCCCAGGAAGAGCTCCAAGATGCACTCATGTTTGATCCTCCTTCCAGCTCTGCTCTAGTCAGATAGATGTCAGAGATCTTCTTGGAGGTCCCCGAGACTGTCATTCTCCAATGGAAAGAAATGTGTAAATTTTCAGTGTATAAACATTATAATAATTGCTATACCCTACTCTAGACCAAGGTGTCAAACCTTCAGTCAGCTGGCCTTCATAGGACTCCCAAGTGCCCTGAACCAGATTATAATATATTTAGGAAATATTTAACAAAATTAATAAAAATGCAATAAAACATAGACAATGTTAATATGTGGTTTTCTAAGTGTATGTGCGGCCACAGGGATCCTTATCATGTGGCCCATCTTTATTTGAGCTTGATACCACTGCCTAGACCCTTACTGTCCCATTCCTGCTTTGCTGCATTCCTTTCCTGACCAACTCCAGTCTGCCCTTTCTTCCCTCTAATTGAAAGACCTTGAATAACTCATTTAACCAGTCTGAGTCTCTGCTTCCTCATTTATAAAAAGAAGCTATTAGACTAGATGAGTTTAAGGTCCTTTCTAGCTCTCAATGTATGACCTCATAAGCCAATATCAGAAATGAATCTATGGTATATTTGTGAGAAAGACATGTTTTCCTGCTGCTTCAAAGATAGTAATAATGATGATGATGATGATAGCTAGCATTCACATAGTGTATTAAGGTTTACAAAGCACTTTACACTAGCTGTGTGACCCTTGGCAAGTCACTTAACCCTGTTTGCCTCAGTTTCCTCGCCTGTCAAATGAGCTGGAGAAGGAAATGGCAAACTACTCCAGTATCTTTGCCAAGAAAACCCCAAATGGGGTCAGAAAGAGTCAGACACAGCTGAAATGACTAAATAACCACAACAAAAGCTAGTTTCCCCAATACCAATTTCTTTTATTATTTTTATTTTGTCTTGTTTATATCTCATCATCATGTATAATACATTTTCGAGAATAGAAGCACAATGAATTTGTCCCCCAAACTGGCTTCTGATTACATGAAAAAGAATTTTAATCTTGATTCATTAATTACACTTTACCACTTGAGAAAATCAGGGCAGCTAGGTGCACAGTGAATAGAGCACTAGCTCTGGAGTCAGGGGGAGCTGAGTTCAAATGCGGCCTCGGACACTCAACACTTACTAACTGTATGACCCTGGGCAAGTCACTTAACCCCATTGAAGAAAGAAAGAAGAAAGAAAGAAAGAAAGAAAGAAAGAAAGAAAGAAAGAAAGAAAGAAAGGAAGGAAGGAAGGAAGGAAGGAAGGAAGGAAGGAAGGAAGGAAGGAAGGAAGGAAGGAAGAAGGAAGAAGGAAGGAAGGAAGGAAGGAAGGAAGGAAGGAAGGAAGGAAGGAAGGAAGGAAGGAAGAATCAATAAGGATTTGACCTGCTAAGGACAAGAAAAGTATAAGCTGTTCTCAAAAATTCCTGAAAGGCGGAAATACCCAGAAGATCTAAGAAAAAAATCATGAAAGATTCCTCCTAGCTCAGAGATGAGAATATTTAGTCAGGATTCAGCTCTGAAGGAGGGATTTCCATACTCAAACAACACTTGCCCAAGTTCAGGTACAAACTTGAAAGTCCCATTTCCCTCCGAAGAAGAAAATGAGGCAAGCACTTTACTTTTTCACTAAATTTTATTGTCTTTTCAAAGATCGGCCTTCTCTCCTTCCCACTTCCCTCCTCCTCCCTCACCGAGAAAGCAAGAAAAGCAAACCCCTGTTACAAACACGTATATTCGAGCAAAACAAAATTTCTTATTGACTGTGTCTTTAAAAAACTATATCTCAGACTGTGCTTGAGTCCTTCCCCTCTGGGTCAAGAGGCGGGCAGCATATTTCCGCATGAGTCCTCAGGAATTGTGGTTGGTCATTGTGTAGTTCAGAGTTCTCAATTTTTTAAAAATATATTTTGTTTCAATCAGCCAAGATCTGCCTTCTCAACCTCCCATCTCGCCCCACCCCACCTCACCGCCCAATATTGAGAACACAAAAAACAAGAAAATCCGTTTTGTGTATAGTCAATCAAAACAAATTTCCACAATGGCCCTGTCCTAAAAAAAAAAAAATTTAATTGCCTCATTCTGTATTCTGAGTCCTTCACCCCTCTATCAGGATGTGGGTGGCATGCTTCATCATTAGTCCTCTGGAATCGTGGCTGGTCACTACACTGATAAGAGCTCAGCATAACAGTCCATCACATTTACGTATCACAATTTGTTCATCCATTCCCCAATTTATGAGCGCCCCCTCAAATTCTCGTTGATTGCCTCCTCAAAATGACGTAGCATTTTTGACCATCCTTAGAATTTGTTTTGCTTAGGACTGATCCCTCCCTTAATCTACCCTCCCTAATTCCTCTTCCCTGTTAATCTCTTTTCCTTCTAATTTCACGGTTAAGTGAAATATGTTCCTGTATGTGTGTGTGTGTGTGTGTGTGTGTGTGTGTGTGTGTGTGTATTCTTTCTTCTTTTGACCAGTGCAGATAGATGGAGGTTTAGTCATTTAGTCATTAGTCTTCCCCCACCTCCCCCTCCTCCTTGTTTATACACCCAAATTATTTAATAAATAAATTTCCTTAACCTTCTTTTCCCTTCTCCCCCACCCCCAGTGTATTCCTCTTCCCCTCAAGTATTTTACTCTTTCAAGAAAAAAGAGCTAATCATGAGAAAGACACAACATCTCCATAATATCCATCTGAGTTTTACATATCTTAAGCAACAGACATGTTGCATCATGGAAGAGAGGTAAAAAGGACCACCTAGCAAAAGACCATTTAATACAAACCTCTAATTATACAGAGGAGGTATCCAAGGCCAAGAGGTGGTAAGTTCTTCACCCAAATACCCCAGAAGATGAACTCCAGAGGTGGAATTTGGAAAGGACTGGGAACATTGAACAGAAAACCTTGGGTTTCACCTAAATTTAATTTACATCACTCATTTTTGCCTGACCTTAGTCACTGAATGAGTGTTGCCTCAAACAAACTGAGACCTGGGAAAGACCTTAGCTTAAAAAGGCCAAGGTCTCCCACTGCATCTAGGGTCATCTCCAGTCATCCTGATCTATATCTTGCCACTGGATCCACATGGCTCTGGAGGGAGAGTGAGGCTGGTGACTTTGCACAGCCCTGCCTCACTTAAATCCAATTCATTTGAAAATCATGTTATCACCTTCCTGATTTCATGGTCCTCTTGAAGAAAGAAAGACAAAAAACAATTTACATCAATTAATTCTATCTCAGCACGCCCAAAGGGTAAGAGAGAGAATGTACAAGATGTCCCAAAAGTCTTCAGGAACTTCCAAGCTTTAATAGTTTGAAATAAACCAGGAAAAAATGAATTGAAAACATTAACCAGTGTAGAAGAATAAGTAATTCAGAAGGTTTTCATTTGCTGCCTTACTTTTCCTTTTCAACATCCACTGTGTCTTGCTGCTTTAAATAGTAATAAGATGTCTATAGAACAGCTTCTCCACAATGGCCTTGATATGCTTCATGAATTGATGATCAGAAACAATTATGCCAAATATTAAAGTGGATAAAAAAGGCCCAGGGCCACCACATAAAAAGTAATTAATATACATTTTGTATTGAATTAAACTAAATTGAAAACAATAATGATTTTTAAACCACCATGAACCTCTCTTTAATCAGAATCCAGAAAACCAAGACCTTTTTCTGTATTCTCCTTTATGGGAATAAGACAGATAACAGGAAAAAAAAATCTGATATTATGTATTTATTCAAAAAGTAACATCAGGGCAGCTAGGTGGTGCAGTGGACAGAGCACCAGCCCTGGAGTCAGGAGGACCTGAGTTCAAATCCAGATACTTGACACTTACTAGCTGTGCAACTCTGGGCAAGTCACTTAACCTCAATTTCCTCAACAAAAAAAAAACGTAACATCAACAAACAATAAAACAAAATCAAAAGAATGAAAAAATAGAAGAAAAGGTGACTATCTCATTGGAAAAACAACTGACCTGGAAAACAGATCCAAAACAAATTATTGAACTACCTGAAAGCCATGATCAAAAAAAGAGCTTAGATATCATCTTTCAAGAAATTATTAAGGAAACTGCCCTGATATTCTAGAACGTTAGGGTAAAATATTAATTGAAGAATCCACAGCTCACCTCCTGAAAGAGATCCCCAAATGAAAACTCCCAGAAATATCTTGGCCAAATTCCAGAGCTCCCAAGTCAAGGAGAAAATATTGGCTAATACAACAGAAAAAGAAAATGACAAATGTTGCAGGGGATATGGGAAAATTGAGATAGTAATGCTCTGCTGGTGAAGTGGTATACTGATTCAACCATTTTATAAGGAATTTAGAACTATGCTCAAAAGGCTATAAAGCCATGCATACCCTTTTACATCCCAAAGAGATTTAAAAAAAAAAAAAAAGGAAAAGGACCTATGTACAAAAATATTTATAGCAGTTCTTTTTGTGGTGCAAAGAATTGGACCCTGAGGCAATGTCAATCAATTAGGGAATAGCTGGACAAACTGCATAAGATTATGATGGAATACTATTGTACTATTAAAATACTATTGTACCATAAGAACAGGATGCTCTCAGAAAAACCCTGGAAAGCCTTACAAGAACTGCTCTGTGGCAAGCACTGTGGTAGGGGATGAGAACACAAAGAGTCTGCCAACATCTCTACAATGATCTGTTCTCATCAACTACCATAGTGAAGACATTACATGTCAATGCTCAATGAAGAAGTGGTTTTTTAAATCGACTTGGGGGAAGTGGATGAACCTTACTAAATACCTACAAAATAGTGTAGAAATGTGTTTATTGAAAAGAAATGGAGAAATAAGCTCACCCAAGATGCTTGACACTGTCGTAGAAGACACTACATCAGAATTCAAATGAAAGAAATATTATGAAATTCTCCAGAAGTTCTTCTTCACAGATAATGTTATAAATATTGAATTGATTTCTGAAACTTTAAAAAGCTTCCCCCAATGAAATCTATGACAATTTGAAAGAAATTGGTGTACCCAGCAACTCTGGAAAAATAAACTGCATAATACCTACACTCTAATATGTACCTGGAAGGGAAGGCCATTAAATTAGTGGAGAGAGAGAGAGAGAGAGAGGGAGGGAGGGAGAATAACAATTTTGGTGCATTTAAGGAAAGTAAAAGGAGACAAAAAGTTATCTACTCCACCCTTCCTTCCAATTTTGCCAAACAAAATTATCTAAGTGATTTTGATGGGCTCAG